GTACCAAATAACAGTCTTGTATCTTATTGCGGAGCTTAGTTATGGCAAGTTATTTGTTTTTGATAACATTTTGATGATAAATGCTTAGCGAATTTTTACCAATCAGTTTTTTATATCGGTGGTTGCTTTTGGTAATTTAGCAATGTTTTCCTCAGTTTGACTTCTAAGTTTAGGCTTAAATTCGTGTACAAAAGACCCAGGTGGCCAGAATGAACTATCTAAAATCTTTTTGAACGTCTATTTTAAACGATGATATACTTCTACCATAATTAAAGTTAAATTTACGGATATTGATATCATCAATTTTTAAACGTGACGAAATCTAAGACGTAATGTCCTCCACCAAGGTATCTTTGGCAAGTCTAGAAAGAAATATAGATTTTTTAGGTGGAAAATACCAAATTTTTAATAGAGGTTACTAAGTTATTAGGGGGAGCCTCTGGAATTGTGAGACACTTGTTACTATTAGATAGAGCTTTTGGGGAATTGAGCTCTTTTGACGGCTTATCACCTTGAGGGCAAGGAGAAGAGAGATTTATTAGGTCATTGGGCGGAGATGTTCTTTTCTGTACAGAAGAACTAAGTGTTACTTCATCGGAAGGACGTTTACTCTTAGGAGCAGGTTTGGAGGATTCATGAGAATCATTCAGGCACTTAAAAGATTTGAACAATTTTTCGTAGTGCCTAAATTTTTCAGTGAGAATTACAAGATCTCGACCGATTTCGTTAAAGCCATTGCGTGTCTCCCTATAAACTTTAAATAGATCGATTCTAAAATTTAAACAGGACCAACGCAATCCCTTACAGTCGAGAATATAATCTAAGATTCTACCTGTCAGTCTAGCACATTTAATATGGGCAAGACCATCACAAAGCCAGCATGAAACATAGCGATCTGACTCGCCTTTAATGTTACAATTGGGGAAGTTCCAAGACATAATAAACAACAAGAATGAAGATCAAATAAAAGAGTAAGTAAAACATAATTTAATGGATGTAGAATAAATTAGTGTGTTAATAAAATATTAATAATAATAAATTCAATTAAGAACAAACGCAAAAATAATAGCAATTTTTTTTTATCAAAGTTCAAAACCAAGACAGTTTGAAAAAGCAATATAGCGAGCAGGTTTAGATGCACTGGTTACATCTATTATATGCATGCAACACTAGACGAACAAAATCTGTAATAAGCCAAGAATATAATGTAACAGTAAAAACTTTGTTAGCCGGGAAACTGGCATATGGTGTATTTCTGCTTCCGAATTTTATGCGGAGATATAAAGGGTATTTTTTTTTCGAGGTATAGAACTTAAGTTGGCATTACTGTTCAAGATGGCGACCGTTTTAACAGCTGTCAAGTGATTTATTCTCAGTTTGGCAGGGATAATGGGATGCCCAACTCTTTCCAGTGTGAGAGCGCCTCAAAATTAGCGTTTTTTATAACATTTTCCATTGTAGCCAGATGGTACAAAATAATAATTTTTGAGAATTTAAATTAAAATACCCATCATTTATTAAGATTAAATATTATTATACATGTATCCGTTAAACATATGCAGAAACTTTTTATACTCTTTTTTTTGTGATTTTGTGATTTATTAAACAATTGATCTTTGAACTTTCAATACGTAATCAAAAGAATAAATGTATTAGCTCTCAATTAATAAATGTTTTTAAAAATTTTCAATTGAAAATCAATACCACTTAGCATGACATCACAAAAGATATCATCACATACATTTCAATTTCGCGTTTTCTTTCATTTTCATTGTTTTCTAATTTTTGTTAGTGATCTTCAACATCAGCACAAATCTCTCCGTTTACATATTTTTCTGTAGGATTTTAATCTGGCCGTCCCTCTTTTTCCAATTGCTAAACGTCAGACCTACTGAACTTTGACAGTTGCTTGAGTTCAGTAGGTTTTGACGTTTATCAATTGCGCTCTCATTTCCAGTGAGAGACGAGTTGGGCATCTCCTTATCTCTGCAGTTTGGTCAAGGATGAAATGATGCGAGACTCTTTGAATCGAGAGACAGCTGTCAAAACCCACATTTTTTTTATAACATTTTCCAATCATGCCACTGTCGAAAGGAAACAGATTGGGTATTATAAAAAAAGCTTTTGGGTATTTTGCATATCGATATTATTTTTAGGTGCTCCGTCCCTATATACGTGTATTTATATTATAAAATTTTTAAAAACTCATATAACATAAAAAAATAGCATATAAATAAAAAAAATTATAACAAAGAAACAATACAAGTCATAATAAAAGATCATGGTTTTATGATGAACGTTTTAAATTAAATTAACAAATAAAATTTAGTTGCATTCCTTGAAATTTCGTTTCGCACTGCTTTTGTTAGCTATTTTTAGCGGGTTTATTTCTGGCATCCCGCCTTTTTTGACATCAGCTGTTCGAAATTCCCTGATTTTAATAATCAGGGAAAGAGAATAACAGAAAAATCAGCGAAAATGAGAGAGTCTCGCATCATGTCATCCTTGGTTTGGTATGGCAATTCATCATGAATGGACTCACGCCTGAACAACGCTTGCAAATAGTGCAATTTTATTTCGAAAATAATGGTTCTGTGCGGAATACGTATCGCGCACTACGTTCATTTTATCGTCCACAATTTTTTTTAACCATGAAGCGCACTTCTGATTGAATGGCTAAGTCAACAAACAAAACTGCCGCATTTGGAGTGAAGGTAATCCTCAAGTGTATGTCGATACACAGTTACATCCAGAAAAACTGACTGTTTGGTGCGCTTTATGGGCTGGTGGAATCATTGGTCCGTACTTCTTAGAAAATGATGATGGCCAGAACGTTACAGTCAATGGTGATCGGTACAGAGCCATGATTACTAACTTTTTCATTCCTGAATTGAACAACCATGATGTCCAGGAGCTGTGGTTCCAAGAAGACGGCGCAACATGTCACACAGCTCGTGCCATAATCGATTTATTGAAAGACACGTTTGGTGACCGCCTAATTTCACGTTTTGGACCTGTAAATTGGCCTCCAAGATCTTGTGATTTAGTACCGCTAGACTACTTTCTGTGGGGTTATGTAAAGTCATTGGTCTATGCGCATAAGCCACAAGCTTAACCATTTGAAAGACAACATTCGCCGTGTTATTGCCGATATACGGCCACAAATGTTGGAAAAAGTCATCGAAAATTGGATGTCCAGATTGGACTACATCCGAGCCAGCCGTGGCGGTCATATGCCAGAAATCATATTTAAAATGTAATGTCACAAGATTATCTTTCGGATACATATAATTTATGTCAATCTAATAATCCATCGTAGTTTTATTGCAATTTAAAGTTCTATACCTCTAAAAAAAACACCCGTTAGTATGATTTGTGTTTGTTTCGCATTACGACTTTAAATACGATTTGTATTGCTTGAGCGTGTGTGTGTGCAACTCACTTCAAGTCGGTGATTAATGATGCAATGTGTGATTTATGACAATCGAGTAAATATGAACACAAACATTGATGTTTGAATATGTGTAAGTATATAGATTTCTCGCAATGCGTAACGGCACATGCACAAAACTTCACACCATGTTTTTCAAAACTGACCGAACAGTAGCTCGATAAAACGTTCGGAAATAATGATACGCCCGTCATACATACTGAACTATGTAAAGAATAACAGACCAACCAAGGAAAACTAAATAATTAATTATCACAAAACTTTCAGTCAGCGTGAAGACATATTTTATTAGGCAGTATGCTTTTATTATTGTTTACAACAACCAATTTATTTCAACATTTTAAATTTGAAATAAGTGGAAAAAGTAACAATTAAGAAAGGGCTAAGTAAGAGTATAACCGAATATTTTATAACCTTGAAACTTACAAGGATTAAAATCGGGGAAATGACTTCAGGTGTTGGCAAAACCTTACATGAAAAAATTTTGCGAAAAATTTCAACATTCATTGCTCGACAAAATCGTGAATGGATAACAATTAAATTTGTTTTCTTATTAACTTATTTTAAAAGTCATAGACTCCTTTGGTTTTATTACTATATTATACTTCCCGTCAGCAATTATTATATATTATATAATATTAAAATCATCCGCAAATGAAATATATGTGATTTAAACTTAACCGAAGAGTCTAAATTTAATATATTGAGTTAATGTGAAAACGTCAACCAAAAGCTAGGAAAAGGCGGGATTATTATCTGATTTCAGTCTGGTTACTCTTATGATCTTACTTCAATTTCATTACAGAATATTTATAAAAATTGTTTAGTCGAGAATGCTCAAAGCGTTCAGGACATGCTAAAATTTTTATTGATCGATGGGCGAAGCCTTGCTGTAATAGCATACAGTCCTACTTTTTTATGGAATCTATATTTTGTAGCGATCTAGTTGTGTGATTCACTTTTACCATCTATTCTTATCAAAGCCAAAAGCTTATCTACAATACTTATTAACTTATTCTTGACTTTCGACAGGGTTGTGGTGCAAAATTACATTGGCGCGTTTATTATTCTGGCTTATATATGTGTGCTAAATGTATTTTTTTTAAATAATTATAGGATGATAGAAATTCAATTGTAAGGAATTTAGGGTCAAACGAGGAATAATCCTTGTTATGAAGCAAAAATAAGGTCCTTTTAGGTCATTAAGTTGGATAAACCGAAAACAATCGAAGTTGTAACCAAGCCTGAGTCTTGTTAAATATTTGATGGATATACCTCTTCTTTCTTTTTTCTAATATAAACACTGTGGGAAATTATAACAAAGGGGCCTTTCTGAATAATTTTTCAAGATAGTCATTCTAAAGTAAACTAGTCTGGTCTTATTCTGATTGCTTATTTGTCTGCATTAAAATATTTTAAGATCGAAAATCTTTGTAGTTACGTCACACATCAATTTGAAAGTCCAAGCACGAAAAAATGCTATTAAACTTTGATCTAAAATTTATGACACAAGGTTAAAAATACTTTTTTTTTGCATTTTTATTTTTAGTTGCTCACAAAATACACTGCACAGAGAACCAGATGCAAGTGGAAATACAAATACCTGAAGCAAACAAAGAGGATTCAGGCAAGCACCCGCAAATATACTTGGAAGGCCTGAAAGATTACCCAAACGAACGTTGTCAGCCCCAAATTAGTGAGTTGCAGGCTGTGTTTCGGCTTTCCCTTACTGACTTTTACGAATGCGGAGTCACACGGATGGTTAATCAGTTGACGGTAATAAAAATTCATATTATATATGAAGTTAAAGGTAAGGGTAGGCGAAGTACGAGCGCAGCTGACTGTCCCAAGCGCTTCGAATTCATGGGTTTGTACATATGTATTTCGCTATTTGGTTAGTCGAAATCCTCATTACTAAAGTGGTCAATCTTGATTAACTATTTTAATTGATAAGTTCAAACAACTTCCGAAATCCTGTGGACTTTCGGCCAACCTAAAATTAGAACATATGTATGTAAATAAGTGACAACCAGTTTTTCTCATTTTGCTTTGATTGGCTGACCTTTCTAGAAAAATTAGTTCTATCTTGTTACATAGAGAAAAATTCGGCTGGCATTAATATATTAATATTATAATTATTATGTTATGTTATTTATAATGCATGGACTTATTTAAATGACATCTAATATATTTCATAGGGCAAAAAAGTATACTATCACAAGATACTGATAGAATCCGCAGAGGGCAAAGAAGTAGTAAGTGTGAAATGCATCACAACAGAGCCATTTTACAATGTGCTTATGCTGAATGCTACCAAACATCATGGAGTTATGAGACGCGACGTTCTACCGGCTGGGTTCCAAGAGCCAGAGTAAGTTTTAAACTTGTACGAATGGTGCATACGTAACTTAATTTCGTTTCTATTTCAATTTCTGTCAACCAAAAGGGACTTGGAGATTACAACATCTCTTACCGAGCGCGCACCCGAACCGCGACTATCGATAGGTGTTAATCAGAATGGCAAAAAGGTTACTGGCGATCTAACCGTTACACCTGGCACCCCATTGACGATGGAAATAAATTTGGACCGCGATTCAGCGCAGGTTTATGGCTTGGGTGTGAATTATCTAGAGGTGACCGATACTCGCCAACTCTCTGAAACAATTGTATTTAAAGGGTAATATAATTTTTACGGCTATATTTAAGTCCTGAATTGAATTAATAAGGAAATATAAATTAAACTTGCAGTTGCACGGTGGATCCATATCTATTCGAAAACTTTAATACCATCAACGGTGACACCTTGTCAGCCAAATTCAAAGCGTTTAAGTTCCCTGACTCATCATACGTTCAGTTCCGTGCCACAGTCAATGTATGCCTTGACAAATGTCTTGGAACTCAGTGCTCGAACGGACAAATCGGTTATGGACGCAGAAGGCGCGATACAACTGAGGTTTTAGCTCAAGGCTTGATGGATATAAACAAGGTCTATGAAATATCACTGGCTATGTTCATAAAAATCAACGACATTGAAGGTGTCAATCATAGTGAGTGCATAGCAGTTAGATAGAAGCGCGTAATCTTCGACTAATCAATGCTTTCTGTTTTCAGATGAAGTACTGCAATTAGAGGAGAAGCTGAGGGAATTAAAATTGGCCAATCAGCGATTAGCGCGTAATAGCCGCGTTAACTTCGGTGAGTCGCTAAAGGGCTTCGATCAACCCCTAATGTCCGTGCCTGCCTTTGTGGTCGATGAGAGGGAACTTAGTCAAGCCCAACGCAGCGTCAGTAATGCTGCTTCGTGCAGATCATTGGTATGGGCACCTCTGGTCTTTGGAATTTGGGTACTTGTTTCTAAATGTATGTAAAAAACGATTACGCCACCCAACCCAAACACAATTACTTGTTTATTAAAAACTCGATAAGCTTTGAAAACTCTATCCATAATAAAATATATAAGTAGTACATACATATGTATGTGCTTAATATAAATAGAAAAGAAAGTCGGGCGGAAACAAAGTGGGATATCTGATGTAAATATGCAACAGGAATAAAAAAAGAAATCAGGTACATCAGAACAGAGGGGTGTACATACATATGTATGTACGCAGGTGTGTCTAATATCATATGGCGTACATACATACTCATGTATGCAGTCGTGTGTAATTATTACAGTTAGAAATAACATATAAACTGCCATCATTAACAGTTATTTACCACGAATATTCCGAAAGAATATTATAAAAGCAATAAATTATAATAAAAAGATACTAAATGTAATCAAATAGTTTCTGGCAGCTGAAAACTACAACTTATTTCAAACATACATACATATAAGTATATGTATATCGGTTAAAATTTTGGAATTCTAATTCTAAGGTCCAAGTAAAATTTAGTCGCACTTCTTTTAAAAATCATGCTCTTATCGATAAAGAAGTGGCAGCAGTTTTGTACTGCTCAAATATTATCTTCTAACGAGTAAGTCACTACTAGTCTACTAAGATAAAAGTTGTATGTAAGTTAATTGAATATTAATATGTAATAATAAAGAAATATAATATAAATACTAACTAGCAGTTAGTCAGCATTTATTATCTGTGCATCCTGATTTTTTCATTATAAATCGTTTTTCACTTTAAGTCTATGATACAAGTATAGTATGTATAGATGTATATTAGATTGTCGGCATTCATCCCGAATTTTCACATTACAAACGCAAATTACTTTATTTACTACAAACTACCTCATTTATTTAAGTGCTTCTAAGGAGAAAATATGTATGTAAAAATGTTTCAATTAGTTGGCAGTGTTTGAAATTGCATTGGCTGGCATTAGCTGTTCGGATCTATTTCAGAACGCCATTCAAAAAACATTAAAAATAAATCTTTGTTTTTCCAATTTGGGGTTTTTCCTGCCAACTACTAGATAGCATTTTATTATTGACTAAATTGTGTTTGAATTCAAAAGGAATTAGGAGTACCCTTATGTTGATCTCGCTATTATTATACCAAGACGCAGTCATCCACTGATACTCAAAGCGAACGGTTGTGATTTCCCAACCCTTCCTCCAACAACAAAATACAATCCGAAATATTTAGTGCAAAGTGCAACGAATCATCAAAAGCTCCATATTTGTGTTTTGCAGTGCACAAACCATTAAAAAACATAAGCAGTGAAATAATTAATATATCTGAATGTAGAGGCAGAAAACTATTATTACTGGTAAAAAACCCCAACATATTTTAAAAATTCATGACAACAAAATAATTACATTGCATATGGGATGTAGAAATAAAACTCCACCATAACCTTAACTATACAAAGGGAACAATTTGCGCACCATGTCATAATGAAATACCAAATGATGCAATCATTGAACCTTTAAAAGAACAGGGTGTAGTATCAATTTTCAAATTCCCTAAATACGTAAACCAAAAGCCAGTACCTAGTGAAGTTGTTCTCCTTACCTTTGATAAATATCAGCTACCTGAAAAAATTGAAGTGTTTGGTACACAAATAAGGTAAGGCTATACGATCCTAACCCCATGAGGTGCAAAGGCTGCCAACTTTTGGGTCATACAACAAAACGATGTAATAAAGCCCCTATTTGCGACATGTGCGCCCTCTCCCTTCACCAACACACTCCTTGCACTCGTTCCTTTTGCATTAACTATTCTGGTAATATTCTGACAAAACATGTACCAAATTTATACAAATGAAACAAATAATAACCATTAAAAAAGACAAAAAGTGCTCCATGCGAGAAGCAATAAAGATACAAAAAACCCAGTTTACTCGTCCTCTCAATGAAAACTTCGCTACATCCGCTACTACCTTTTTTTGACAGATCAGGCATTAGTCATGTCAAGCTGTCATGTTATATTGTTTAGTATTGTTCGGCATTTCATCATGAAAAGACTTACGCCTGAACGACGTTTATAAATTGGTTTACTTTATTACGAAAATTCAATATTTCGAGCGATTCGCTCAACTTATGGTTAACCTAATCGGCCTACGCTCAGTAGTAGTGGTATTAATTGCAAAACGATCACCGTTCTTGAGACATACATTATTGAATAATAGACATTGAATAGCGACCGTAACTGAGAGTGTTCACCAAGACTGTGGAGCAGCTCGGACTGACCTATGGAAAGCTTCGCTCTATGGGCTCTTGAAAGAAGATGCGACGTTTTCGAGCTAAATTTTGTTCAGCGAAAAATTGCCACATTTCGGACGAACAGCAACCTGAAAAGATTCACGAGCTGCCATTTCATCCAGAAATAAACAACGGTTTTGTGTGATTTGAGGGCCGGTCATCGGTCCACATTTGTTCAAAAATGATGCCGGTGAGAACGTAACAGTTAATGGCGACCGTTAATGCGCCATGATAACCGACTATTTGATGCCTGAAATTGGAGCTCGGGATCTCGTTGACATTTGGTTTCAACAAGACGGGGCCAATGTGAATGAAATGAATAAATTTATTGAGAGAACACTTCGCTGAGCAGATAATTTCACGATTTGGACAGAGCGAGATAATCTTCAAAAATATGTTAATGTGTATTTTACAATGGAATATAAATGACCTACTCAATAACTACCCTGATTAAAATATCCTTATTAATGAATTTCGTCCAGAAATTATATCACTCCAAGGGACCTATATCCCTTTCAATAAAAAGGCTTATCCTCCTGAAAATATCACAGTTATTTCCACAATACTACACAAAACGTATATTTAAATCATAAGCAAATTCCTATCGTCAGCAAGAGATATTTTTACTTAGTTATCGAAAAAGAAATTGGATTTAATTTCACAATTGTTAATTGCTACGGAGAGGAAGACTTTAATGCATGGAGTCCACTGTGGGGATCACCGACAATTATCGCAGATATAGTCCTTTCAAATCATCGTTTCGTACTAAACGATGTTAAATCACCTCACTTCTCTACACATAGTACTTTTACACATCCCAACAGTATCCTTGCCGCATTCACAATAGCACCCAAACTCCCATCTCATACAATCGATGACCTTTCCTATAACCACATCCTTCTCCATCCTTAAAACATACAAAGTTACGTCAAGGTCCAAATTTCTAACCGAAAAGGCAGACTGGGAAAAATTCAGTAATATATCCGCAAGTTTATCCAATACTAGGCGCTCTAGACAAAACGTAAATGCTAAAGCATCTGCTATTGAGGCTATTATTCGCTCTGCAGCTTATTTTACTATTCCGGAAAATAACACCAAAAGGTTTTCAGCAAAACTACCGGATTGGTCTAATCTACTAATTATTCTTACTATATTGAGAATTACAGATCCCTCTTATCCTGTATGTCCAAGACATTAGAGAAAATGATTTCTTCCACACTAATGTGGTATGCGAAAGTAAATGGATTCATAAACCCGTACCAATTCGGTTTTCATAAAGGGTTAGGAGTAATAGACACCAATTAGAATATTTCGCTCCCACTAACTTGGCAACTCGTAAATGTTTCAGTACCACGCCAGGATTTAAAAAAATCCTTCGTTAGAGTTGGAACTCACATGGTACACAGTGAACTTAGACGCTAAGAAATTGGAAACAAATGTTTAACACTGTAAAATCCTTCTTGTACAATCAAAAATTCAACGTATGTGCCAATAAATGGCAAGCACAGATATTCCCTTTCCTTTTTAAATCTCCAAATACCCATACTCATACAATAGTTTAAAAATACTAGGCATAATATTTGAAAAAACTCTTTCTTATAAAGAACATTGTAAATATATTCGATTAAATTTATTTCTAAGACTAAATATTATAAAGTACTTATCATTAAAAATTGTTTGTGTCACCCCAACACTCTCATTAATGTCACAAGAGCCTTATTGTTATCAAAAATTGACTATGGGCTTGCAATATATGGACACTGTGACAAAATCCATATCAAACTCTTAAACACACCATACCATGCGGCAGCTAGGATAACACACTGTTTCTTATCCCGAAATTGCTCCTATGCAGAAATGAGTTAACACTTAATAACGTAAACAGTACCCTCCAATGTTCCCGCAGATACAATAAACCTTCAAACATTATACGTTGTGTCACTATTTCCAAACAACTCAGAATAATTACAAACCCTACCCCCACTAACTCCACCTTCCACAACATTATCGTCATGTTGTACCTTCTGCTCAACGCAAAACGAGACTTAATCCATAACTCGACAAGGACATGACATATGGCCCTACTTTTTTTTGCTTAGGTTGGCAGGACTGTTATATGTTTACATGTCAATCTGTCACATAGTTTTTTTTTAAGGCACTATAAACAAGTCAAACCTCGAGTGTGTTTTTCGAATTTTACTATGGAAATTAACGTTGAGCAAAAAGTGATTGTTTGAAATTTTGTTATTCCAATGGAATAAGTGCGACGGACGCAATGAAAATGTTGCAGAAGGCATATGGGGAGTCTTGCCTATCACGTGCACGTGATAGTTTTTGATTGGTATAAGTCGTTCAAGGACGGCCGTACATCGCTGGAGAACTTGCCCCATGATCGTCGTCCAGCAACGTCAATAAATGAAGAAAACGTCGAAAAAGTAAAGAAAATTGTGTTGGAAAATCGTCGTGTGACTGAAAGAGAGATAGCTAGTGAGCTCAATATATCAAATGGATCCGCTCATAGCATTATTCACGATGTTTTGGGCATGAGACGTGTGTCTGCTCGACTTATTCCAAAATCCAGCTCATGGCACCGTGTGACTTTTTTCTTTTCCCTAAACTCAAATTGCCGCTTCGTGGAAAGCATTTTCAGTCGATTCAAGTCATAAAAGAGAATTCGAAGAAGGAACTGAAAGCCATACCTAAAGCGGCCTACCAGAAGTGTTAGGAAGATTGGAAAAAAAGGTGGCATATGTGTATCGCCTCTAATGGTGACTATTTTGAAGGGGATAAAATAAGTATTGAAGAATAATTAACCGTTTTTGTTGTTTGAGCCCGTCTCGTTTATATTTGAGCAGAAGGTATTAACGTTACACAACAACATCGCAAGCAATCTACGAGCAACATTGAATATGTCCAGTTATACAAAGAAACTATACAACCATATAGAGATGATTGTGAGTTTATATTTGCAGACGGATCTAAAAGTGACATCTCCACCACAGTTGCTCTGACAAACAAAATCGGTGTGACCATAGTTGTCTTTGTTTTGCCATCATACTGCTCGCTATATACAGCTGAAACAGTTGCCATATTGGAAGCGGTACTTTTTCCCTCTAACAATGAAAAGAAAACCATTATTTTCAGCGACAGCAAATCCGTCATAGATGCCATTTTTAACCAATCAAACTATTCCTCCTGATTACCAAAATAATACCTTATTTCCAAATACCACAACATAATCAAAACTATGTGGATACCAGGGCACGTAGGAATCCAAGGCAACGAAATGGCCGACAAACGAGCGAAAGAAGCAAACAAAGAACCTCTGCATGTTGATGTGTGTAAAACAAGACATCAGCGACCGGGTGTCACGGAAACCAATTTTATCGGTTTTGTTATCAGAAACTAATTTAACTATTTTAAAAAAATTAATTT